GTTTCTAATAGCTACTTGCTCCTAGTAGCGATGCCAGGAGCCCCTAGTAGCTTCTTGTTTCTAATAGCTACTTGCTCCTAGTAGCGATGCCAGGAGCCCCTAGTAGCTGCTGGTTTCTAATAGCTACTTACTCCTAGTAGCGATGCCAAGAGCCCCTAGTAGTTTCTTGTTTCTAATAGCTACTTGCTCCTAGTAGCGATGCTAGGAGCCCCTAGTAGCTTCTTGTTTCTAATAGCGATTTGCTCCTGGTAGCGATGCCAGGAGCCCGTAGTAGCTTCTTGTTTCTAATAGCTACTTGCTCCTAGTAGCGATGCTAGGAGCCCCTAGTAGCTTCTTGTTTCTGATAACTACTTGCTCCTAGTAGCGATGCCAGGAGCCCCTAGTAGTTTCTTGTTTCTAATAGCTACTTGCTCCTAGTAGCGATGCCAGGAGCCCCTAGTAGCTTCTTGTTTCTAATAGCTACTTGCTCCTAGTAGCGATGCCAGGAGCCTCTAATAGCTTCTTCTTTCTAATAGCTATTTGCTCCTAGTAGCGATGCCAGGAGCCCCTAGTAGCGTTCTTGCTCCTAGTGCTGTTGGCTGGTTGAGATTGGGATTGGTGAAAGATGCTGTTGGTGAGGTGGTCTGTTGGTTTGGTTCATGTTCGGACTTGGGAGATGAGGACTTTCCTTATTGTACATCAAAACGATAGGTGCATGATTTTGACCCGAAATACAGGCCCATAGTACCTGCGCATAGCAAAATTACCTGCAAAATAAGAGCAGTTTCAAGACTACCAGGTTGGAGGCCATCACTCTTAGTGACAAGGAAAACTACATTAATAAGAGCACCAAAGACCTCAGCAGCAGACCGAGTTTTGCACTGATTCTGACGATGCATCGACCGACCTCGGTGCCGTAGGAGGTCAGCAAGAGTTGGAGAAGAAGATGCACAGTCGAACGATGTGTCCACCGCCACCTGGCACGGGATGAAAAAACCAGCAGGGTGAATCGATTGGCCTTGTGTACCATCTCACGTCGTTGTACTAAATACCATTTGAAGGCCATTGCTAGTAGGTTGAAGGCCATTGCTAGTAGGTTGCCAGCAACTCTAAGAAGGTCTTGTGATGTCTTGTGGCTGAACCCAGGTGAACCCTGGAAGAGAAAAGATGATCTACTTGGGTCGAGCCATGCCGCATGTAGCCAGTAGACTTATTAGGCTCTTAGCTCGCGTGAATCTTGTTTATCGCGTGGTATTCAATTTTGAGAAGGGTCAAGCAGTCTCAATCGCTCTCATTCTTGCTGTATTGCTATATGTGAAGCATTGACATCGCAGAAAGGTGGGAAGTCAGGTTCCAAAGAGGGGGGGTGTTCCTTTTCAACCAAATATGACAAACTTTAGCCCTTCCCAAAAGAGATCTCAAAATATGGAGGACTTGCCAAAGGACTTGAATCAATGACAAATACGGAGAAACCGATGGAAAGCCCACTCGGCCGCGTGGCCCGGCGTCGGTGACGGCGTCTCCGTCGAGGTTTGAAGTGATCCTTCTGCAGTTGCACTTGCCCATCGAGGGCGTGTGGGCATCTTGCTGGAAAGAGATGGATTTTGAGGTGGCAACTCTGAAAGAAGTGAAGCATGGTGAACTGGTTCACCTGCTTTCGTGGTGAACGTCCATGGTGAACCGTCAGGGTGCACCAGCTTGCTTCAATTCTGCTTTTCCAAAACCGCTTGAGATTTCGCCAGACCGAACTCGAACATAAAACTATAGGAACAAAAATAACAAAGTCCCGTGAAGACCACTGAGGGTCGCCCCACGTCATCAATTTGGGGGGACCGAATTCCCCACTTCCCTGAGGACTGCGAAGGTGGACACATCTCCATCTTTCGTGAGGGTGAAGACTTGGCGCCCTGACGAAAGAAACCGAGCCGCGGATGGTCCTGGCTCCAAGATGCTGAAAGAGGGCAGCATGGGTTGGAGGGACACCAAGTAGGAACACGAATCCATGAGGTTCAGGATCGCTTTGGATTTTACTTTGAAAGTCATGAAGTTCACCGCCTCAACCTCTCGGGTCTTCCGATGGATTTCAGCGTCATCCGAGCTTCCGGGGGGCCAACACGTTGCCATCCACATCACCATCGATGGATTTGTCGGATGTGCCTCAGGCGCTGGAAGCTGCTTCCGTGCTTCCGTGTATTGGACTCGTTCACTGCTTCGACCGTCTGGAACAACTAAGCACTGCTTCGTGGAGAAGTCTCAAGAAGATCCAATATCAGCTTTCAAGTCGGATAGTGATTCTGGAGAACGCAAACTTGGAATGAAGCCACCCTAAACAAATCATTTTAAAAAACAAAAAATAATGCAAACAGAATATGGATATGTTTGAGACAAAACGGTTGGTTTTTGTGACCCCGGGCATCGTCCCGATCTCACCCTATCGCACGCCCCTTCCCCCGCCGGGCCGACATGTTTCACGACCTTCAGGATCCAGGGTGAGAGGATGTGAGGGTTATTCTCCAGGTCCAGGTCCGGACGGAACAAAGTTCTTTTTGGTGAGTTGCTGTAATTGGTCCTTTCTTCTATGGCTCCCACATGAAACACAGCGCCAAAAAGGTGCGCTCACCGTGAGGTCTATGTGGACCCCATTCGCTGGCGCTCGGCCAAGCTACATCCAGCCTCAAGCGCATGGTTGCTGCAGGGGCGCCTACAACAGGACGGTGAGGCGAGCAGTGGAGGGGGCCGTGGGTGGAAAACTGATGTCACTCGCTGGACATTGGAAAACCATATGGAGGCCATCGCTAGTAGGTTGGAGGCCATCGCTTCTAGGAGCAAAGGGCATCGCTACGAGTCCGGAGCGATCGGACGCTACGAACTCCTGCCTTACTACTAGGAACAAGTGCATCGCTACTACGAACAAGAAGCTGAAGCTTTCCAAAACTTCGAGGTCCAACATGACACATCGATGTTGAAAAGGCCTGACCGGGGCGGCATAGATATTCCAGTCCCATGGATGGTCTGACTGTGTTTTGTTGCAGGTGTTTTGACCCTCAACATCCCCTCTGGCCCCGTGGGTGGTCTATTTCCCGACGCCAAACTCGGGGGTGTTGAACACCTACGCCGACACATGTCGGTCCCTAGAAAGCTAGTAGAAGCAAGTGCATCGCTAGTAGTAACAGGTGCCTTACTAGTAGTAACAAGAAGCTACTAGGAACAAGTATATCGTCCCTAGAACTCAGCTGGGTCGATTCCACAGCTGACCAGGTCTTCTTGCGCTTCCCCACACCCGAGGAGCTCCAGGGCTGCTTTTGCTTGAGGCATCTTAGGCTCAAAGATCAGTGATTGAAGTATGTGCTGAAAAAGAGGTGCTATAGGGTAAGATATGATAAGATATGAACATTTGGTGAATAATGATGTCGCAATTACATAAAAACATGTATTCAGGAGCTTAAAGAAACGCTGCCAAACGATCGATCTTTGGTGAGTCACGTTCCATGACTTGTGCTGTGAAAGAGCCGAAGCCTCTGAGGGACGGCCCAGGTGCAACCAGAGGCTAAGTGCTGACTGATCAAGACCTACCCATGGGGCAGCACCCAGGCGCCCGAAAAAAGAAACACCAAACAGATCCAAACAGCCCGGCCAAGAGGGTCAGCACATGTTTGGATTTCTCCAATTAGCAAACCCTCACCCGTTCGTTTGATGTGGCCATGGCTAATAAGACGACCCGAAGACTTTACATGTCTTAGACTCGATACATTCTTTTCGCCGGGCCCTGTGTGTTCGCCATACACCCTCCCCAAAAAAAGAAAAGACACATAAAGGCCGTGTCAGTGCCCCTCGTGGGCACGTGAGAGCCCGTCCGCTCAAAGCCGGCACCGAGGCCGCAAGGCACGTGGCACCGCTTCCATGCCAGCCGCATCGCACAGCGCCACGACGCTCGGGTCGGCGAAGAGAGGCGTTGGTGGCGGTGTTCCGTTGGGAAGGATGGTGGGTTGGACATGGTTGGAAGATTGGAAGGAGAAAAGGTTTAAGGGTGTTTCAAGCTGTTGGTAGCTTGAAGAGATTTAACCGGTTCGTGCGGAACCCCTATTTTTCCGGATTTTTTCAGGTTCTTTCCGGGAATGTTTTTCGTGTGTTTTCTCTACTGCTTTTGCTTTTTGCTTTTGCTTCTGCTTTTGCTTTTTGCTTCTGCTTTTGCTTTTTGCTTTTGACCTTTGCTTCTGCTTTTGCTTTTTGCTTTTGCTTTTTGCTTTTCCTTCTGCTTTTGCTTCTGCTGACTATCTTCTTTGCATTGACACGGCACAAAGTTGGATGATAAGACCTTCACCTTGAGCTTTGACACCCAACTACACCAATCAAGAAACGAAGCAGCCCAGCGCTGTCCACTGTATATTTGATTTGCACTTACCACTACCCCCTCCCGCTTCTTTTTTTAATAGTTGCCACTACCATCCACCACCCCTATTATTTCCAATACCTCTATCACTCGGACCACCCCGCTACGAGTCTTACCACAGTTACCACAACTACTATTTTCTTTGCGTTGACGCTGCCACAAAGGTGGATTTCTACTTTGCTTAGCCCAAAGAAACCCGAAACCACTGAAACCCAAAGACAACCGCAGAAAAGTCCCTATTGTAGTTCCTCTCTCCTCCTTTTCCGGAAGAACGCCTAAAGAAACCCTAAAGACAAGAAACCGAGCCCAAAGAAACCCGAAACCAGTGAAGCTAAAGACAACCGCAAAGAAGTCCCTAGTAAGTGGAATACCTTTTCTGTTCCCTCCCTTTGTCACTGTCACGCTGGCTTTGGTGCTTCGTCCCCTGCCCTTTCTGCTGCTCCTAGTGCTTGTACAGCACTCCCAGCAGAAGCAAAACAAAAAACAGTAGGGGAAAAAACGTGAAAAAATATCCCGGAAAAAATATCCATCCGGTTCGTGCCGGTTCAAATACACTCCCCCCAACCAATCTGTTCTCAGCTACCTTTTCCGAAAGCTAGGAACAAGAAGCTACTAGGGGCTCCTGGCCTTACTACTAGGACCTAGGAGCAAGGATGCTACTAGGCACTCCTCCCCTCGCTACTAGGAACAAGAAGCTACTAGGGGCTCCTGGCCTCGCTACTAGGAACAAGAAGCTACTAGGGGCTCCTGGCCTCGCTACTAGGAACAAGAAGCTACTAGGGGCTCCTGGCCTCGCTACTAGGAACGAGAAGCTACTAGGGGCTCCTGGCCTCACTACTAGGAACAAGAAGCTACTAGGGGCTCCTAGCCTCGCTACTAGGAACAAGAAGCTACTAGGGGCTCCTGGCCTTACTACTAGGAGCAAGGATGCTACTAGGAGCTTTTACGCTCCATCTCCCGGTGTTTTTGTGGACCAGCGCCACATGCTCGGAGCGTCGCAAACTTGTGTGACGCAAATCAGAGCACGCGGGCATGTCTCCATGTCGTTTGCCAATGGAACTTGGGAGGATGACCTAACAGCGATGGCCTCCTAGTAGCTTCTAGCTCCTAGTAGTAATGCCAGGAGCCCCTAGTAGCGTCCTTGCTCCTAGTAGCGATGCCAGGAGCCCCTAGTAGCTTCTAGCTACTAGTAGAAGGATGAGGGTGCAAGGTGGCGCTACAGACCTAGAAAAAGCGGCATCAGGCTTCGCCATCATAGCGGGTTCATTTGTGCCGCCAGCATCGGGCTCGTGGATGTGATGTGGTGTGACCAGGGCACCCCGACTTGCTCCATGGATAGCTCCCAAGTCCAATGAAACTGCTGGTGATGTCGCATTCAGATGGCACCCCACCGCTGAGTTCGCAAAGGATTCATTGGAGACCTTCTCCTTTGTGATGATCCAATGCTATCACGCCTTTGGCGACGGACCTTCAGCAGCACTGGGAGAGGAGACCGACAGCGCAGCTGGACTGGACATGGCACCCAGGCAGTCCACTCTGTGATCAAAACCACGAGCTTTGCTTGCCCTGAGAGTCCTGGAAAATGACGAAAATGAACTACCCCAAACTGGTAGTGGTGGATGGATTGACTACCAGGTGGAGTAGTTCATTTTCGTCAAGTCATGGAAGTTCTGGGTTGTATAAGTATAGATTTAATTCATGTCAGTTCTGTCGTTCGGAAAAATCAGGAGACGACTCTCGTGTCTCTTGAGGTCGCAGCTCGAGGCTTGCGGTGTCGTTCGCATCGAAGACGCCTCGAAGCGGTTGGGCTGGTTGGAGGTTGGTACGGAAACGGTTTATCCATTTTTCGGGCAGATTAAAAGTAACTCCGAAAGTGATAGAATGTGGTATACATCCTAACATATCCCCTTTGTAGTTTGTACTTCAACTTGGTGCTCCCTGCTTCCATTTTGGACCCCAACCGGACCGGGATTCGCTCAGGATACTGTTACTCGCCCCTGGCCTCCGATCTGTTCGAGGCCTATGAGGCCGTGACATCGCAGGACGGTTTGAGCTCGAGAGTGGATCCAGAGCCCTACCCAGCCAGGGTACTGATTGGCTTCCCTACTAAACAAGAACAATTAGATGAAAAAAGGTTAACCATTATTTACTAGGAACAAGAAGCTACTAGGGACTCCACAGCAAGATACTATATCAAAGAGGAAAAGCAAAATGGTAATAAAAGCTACCTTTTATTCTATATCATGATGACTTTTCCACCTTTATTTGGACTCCTCATTACGTCGTCTAGCTATCTGCAGATTCACAGCTCAAACGCCACGCTTTTTACTCAGACCACGGACACTCCTTCGGACACCAAAAATGAATAGCTGTGGCCCCTGACGCTACTAGTAACAAAGGGCATCGCTACTGGGAGCGCTACTAGGGGCTCCTGGCCGTACTACTAGGAGCAATGATCGCTATTAGGAACGAAGGTTAGAACTATTTGATGCTGAAGGAGTCAGGAGCTCTGCGATGTCCCCTTTTCTGCGACGTCCCCTTGGCCGAGCTAGAAAATGGAGGCAGAAAACAGGGTCGCTTCCCTGAAAGGTGGATGACCGTTTCACAGTATCAAATCACGTAGCTTACCCGGCTTGCCTTATACCCCGTGGGGTGAAGTCTTTGCTGTTACCTTTCGGGTGTTTGGGGGGGTGCTCGGCTGTGTTTTCAGGGATTTGTTTGACAGATTCAGTGATATATTTGGCAAACCTCAAACTGTTGGAACCTTGGGTTCCCCAGAAGGTCCAGTGAAGGGCCTGGAAGTACCAGCGGCCCAGCGCCAGACTCTTTCCACCTTTGCAGGGAGTGCTTCTAGCGCAAGCGCAAGCAAGCGCTGGAAGTTTCTTGAAGGCTAAAGAGGCCAAGAAAGTGGGCACAGCGTCACCATCGAAAGAGACACGGGGCCGGCCGGCCGGCCTATGCCGCCTTCCAGGAGAAGGCCGATCAGTTGATGCAGTTCCTTGGCTTGGGGGGTGGACTTGGTCTGTCAAGATTGTCAAGAGCCTTTTTGGCACAAAGGGGTGAATTCTCATATGTCTCATTCGTGGGTGATGATGAGGCAACCCTGGCCAAATCCGATTCTTCTCTTAGTTGGCCCTGCCTAAGGTTTGAAGACGCTTCGCGGGAAAAGATCGACGGCCAGTCGTGATCGGGGTGACCCATTCAAGTCAACCTGAAAAGTCCTTCAGCACGAAGTTAGGAATAGTGAGGTCGACCTAAACCGGAAGAGAATTCTCTTCTATTCTCCACTTAACCACTCAACCCCCCAGATGTCCATTTTTGAGCCTACACCTAGACAACAAAAACTTGTAAAAGAAAGAAAGAAAGACGAGAAGAAGACCCAAGTATTCTTGTTTCTAATAGCTTCTTGTTACTACTAGTAAGGCACTTGTTACTAGAAGCGATGCACTTGTTCCTAGTAGCTTCTTGCTCCTAGTAGTATTCTTGTTTCTAATAGAAAAGAATCCGATGCCCTCCAGGCCGGGCCCCCGCGACGGCACGGGCGAGGCGCTCGCCGTGTTGCAACGTCGCTTGGAGGCGCCGACGGGGCCGGGTAGGTCCGTTCTTCGTGGTGACAATCGCGAAGAACGGAAGAAAGGAGTGTTCAACGAGAAAGAAAAGAAAACCTAAGAGCGATAGAAAAATCACGAAAAGAAAGGGAACGAGAAAGAGAGAAGAATTCAATGAGTCAAAAGAGCTTTGGTCTTCAGCTTCGCTTTCCATGGTCGTCTTCCACTTTCTCACTTTCTAGGGTCACCTTTGTTTTTTTCCGTAGGAGACGCTGCTGGCAGGGCCTGATCCCAGCCGCGCCTCGCTCCGAGGACGGGTGCCCCCCAAGAAGCGCTGACGTGGTCGTTCGAGCGGCGAAGAATCCCAGTAGCGTCCTTGCTCCTAGTAGCGATGCACTTGTTTCTACTAGCTTCTTGTTACTAGTAGTAAGGCCCTTGTTACTAGTAGCGATGCCAGGAGCCCCTAGTAGCGTCCTTGCTAGTAAGAATTCTCCTAGTAGTCATGCCCTTTGTTCCTAGTAGTATGGCCAGGAGCCCCTAGTAGCGTCCTTTGCTCCTAGTAGTAAGGCCAGGAGCTCCTAGTAGCGTCCTTGCTCCTAGCCTTACCTCTGGAGGAGCCCCTAAAACAAAAATTGCCCAAGAGACCGAAGAGCAAAAAAGCAGACCGAGACCGACGCCGACACCTATCTGTATTTATGCCGCTGTGCGCAGGAAACCTGTGGAGTGCATGGTTCAATGGCTATTCCTCTCACTTGTCCATTGAAGGGGAGACCTTGGCAGTGCTCAAGGCTGGATGGTCAAGTTACGTGGAAATGAAGCTACAGGTTTGCCTCACATGGTCTCAGGGGTCTCCCACCGAAGTACGTGGATCACCTGCAGGTGAAGTTCGGTTGGTGAACCTTTCGGTTCCAACATGTCTCCGTTTTTTTCCCCAATCACGGCTGCCAAGGGGCGGCCCTTGGATGAGTCTCTTAGGCTCGGATACACTCAGAAAGTTGCACCTGATAGCGTCCGTGTGACTAGCAATGCCAGGAGCGCCCCCGTTCATAGCGTCCTTCTCGCTCCGGACTTGTAGCGTCTGAATTAGAGACAAGGACGCTACTAGGGGCTCCTGGCATCGCTACTAGTAACAAGGGCCTTACTACTAGTAACAAGAAGCTAGTAGAAACAATAAGTCATTCCAAGTTGTGGATTTTCGGACATATTCCTTTCAACTGCCGAGATGGGCCAGGCCACTCTGTTGGAGATGGGTCGAAAGATTTGCAAAATTGGCCAACTGTGTTTTGTCATGTTTTGTCACATCTATGATCATCTAGGTGAATTGAAGTGTTTCCTTTCCGTGAGGCAATTGCGGGGAGATATTCGATCCCCATGAATTATCTCTTGCTCGCAATTGTGCTCCTCAGCTGCAAGATGGGATCGAAATCAGGTGAGAACTCTGGCCCGGAGGAGTGGGTGAGTCGGTAAAAATGTCTTCCCGTCCTTGGGTTGCAAGGCGGAACCGTTTGAGCAAAATTGAAGGTGAAGGTAGATGTGTGTGTGTGTGTGTGTATGTGTGTGTGTCAAATGTTGAACCGGGTGGAGGCCATCGCTAGTAGTGTCACTACTCGTGCAGGATAGCAGGAAAAGCGTATCCACCAGTATCCACCTGGTGTTGAAAGTGGCTTCTACGTAGTAACGAGAGCGAATTCTTATGAATTCGTCAAATTAAATGCAAGCAAGAAAGAACTGCAACAAGACATACCCTCCACTTCGCGGGAAGAGCCTAACGAAATAGATGTCATGAAAAGACCTCGCGCAACACGGAAGGGACTTTGTCATTAACATTTGACTCATTCGTAAAAAGTGGATCTGACGGCCCTGAGGATTGCAGCCAAAGCGAGGGCCTCTCACGAGATGGAGGTGGACTTGACGTGTCGTGTCGCTGAAGGGGTCCGCGGTCCATGGCGGTCCGAGTTTGTTTCTCAAACAGGTCAAACAAAAAATTGAAACGTCTTCACTTTGCTACTAGTAACAGGAAGCTACTAGGAGCTAAGGGCATCGCTACTAGGAGCAAGGAAGCTACTAGGGGCTCCTGGCCTTACTACTAGGAACAAGGACGCTACTAGAAACAAGTGCATCGCTACTTTGCACGATTCCACTCGTTCAATCCAAAAAAAATGTCTTTTCGTGTGAGAAGACCAAAGCTCAACGAGAAGACCAAAGCGGGTGGCACCCGAAGCTGCGAAGCCAAGCGATTTAAAGCACAGCACTGAACTTGTTCTCCTCCCGTTGAAGGGGACTCTTCGAGTTCTCCAGTCTGAGTCGGACTGAGCAGCTTTTAGTTGTGCGGTTTTGGACGAAACCTGGTCATACTGTGGGGTGTGTCAGACAAATCCATTGTCACCACTTGGAGCACTAAAACAACCCTTTCGTTTTTTTTGGAGAAGCCACCTGAAGTGGTGTTCAACTCGACTGGGACAGGTTCAGAGAGAAAACACAAAAGTGGCTCTGGGGTTGAGTTGCACCTGAAACGGCCAAAATCGATCGCTGAGAACTGCGACAGGTGATTGGAACGGAGCTGTTTCTTTAAGATTTTCTCGTTACCTAAGAGCTACTAGTAACAAGAAGCTACTAGGAGCTAAGGGCATCGCTACTAGGAGCAAGGAAGCTACTAGGGGCTCCTGGCCTTACTACTAGGAACAAGGACGCTACTAGAAACAAGTGCATCGCTTCTAGTAACAAGTGCCTTACTAGTAGTAACAAGGACGCTACTAGGGGCTCCTGGCCTTACTACTAGGAGCAAGTATAGCTACTAGAAACAGGTGATTGGAACGGATTTTCTTGTTACCTAAGAGCGATGGCCTAGCACAAATGCCACGGTGGTCCACATTGAGGCTTTATGTACCGATGCGCGATGGAATGGAAGCTGGAGCTTTGGCTGATCTCAAGAGTTGGTTTCAAGGTGCCAGTAGGAACCGGAGGTGGATGTCTAAATAGAAGTGGAAAAGAATCGTTTTTGGAAGAACATCGTCTTCCTCTCTCGTTGTTTTTTCCACTTTACGGGATGCCAGAGCCTTGGCCTGGAGTATTTGTTGATGTTTGTTGAAGGACGCTAAGTGACGGGCACTGCCAGAAGAACTGCGTCCTGCACAAGTGGCGGGCACTGCCCCTCGAACACATCCTCGAACAAATTGTGTGCAACAACTAGTAGCAAGAATGCTACTAGGGGCTCCTGGCCTTACTACTAGGAGCAATGTTCGCTACTAGGAGCAAAGGGCATCGCTACGAACGGAGCGGCCGGACGGCCTTTTTTGGTTCCCAAGATCAGGATCTACTTCCAACGGGATTTCGCCATCTGTGGGCCGATGGACCCGAGACGTCAAACCCAAAGCTGTGAAGAATCCCCAGACCTCCAAGATAGACCGATGAGAAAACCCATTTGCTTGCCTTTGCCAGTGCAAGTTCTTGTTCTCCACTCCGAAGTCCGAAGCTGGTGTTTTGAGTTTACCAAAACGTCCAATCCAGCTCAACTCGTTCCTCAAAACACATCAACGCTCCGCTCTACGAGTCTCCCCAGCCTTCTGTGAGGCCCCATGCCAGTGACCTTTTACAGTCCTTGATCTTGTGACCGTTCACCAAGAAAAAGGATTGAAAGGTTCAAGTAGAACAAATCCATTTCGCCCCCAATCGATCCCATCCCTTCGAAGGCATCCTTTTCGAGCTCGTGACCGAGGCATGGTGGGCCTCTTCGCCGACTGGCGCGACGTGTCGGTGGCCGCGCCCTGGGACGGCACGGTGCTGCAGCTGCTGCTGGAGGTCTACGATGTGCTGCGGCTGCGGAGGTGGAAGGTCTTCAACCCCTTGCGAGACTTGGTGTTTTCATGTGTTTTGTGATTGTGCCAGGAGCCCCTAGTAGCTTCTTGTTCCTAGTAGTAAGGCCAGGAGACCCTAGTAGCGTCCTTGCTCCTAGTAGCGATGCCAGGAGCCCCTAGTGTTTTTTTGAGTTGAGGAGTTGGTAGAGGGTGGTGAGGTCATGCTTCAAAGCATGGCAGAGCAGATATTCTGCTGTCTGACAAGTGGCAATCTCCGGTGGTCAAGACTCTATGTCTTTCCAACATTGCAAGCCGGGTCCATTTAGCTCTTCACATTGAGTGCTGCACTCCTGAACCAAACAAGTCAAATTTAAACACCGCATTGTTGGTTGAAAGAAGGTTGAGTGAAATTGACAAGGAAAAATCAGTATTCTGTCGGTTTCCGTGTTGGTTTCATACCCTTCTTGAGGAGGAAAAATCCTTTAAAAAACAACAGAAAAGAATCTTTAAGTCCAAGTGGGTTTTCTCCGGAAGCTTTCGATCAAGGACGCTCCTAGGGGCTCCTGGCCTTACTAGGAGCAAAGGGCATCGCTACGACCGGAGCATTCTTACTAATTCTAATTTAATTCTATTCGCATCTTGTTACTACTAGTAAGGCACTTGTTACTACTAGCGATGCACCTGTTACTACTAGCGAGCAACATGCTTTCACCGAGGAAAAGCGGAACGGACGGTGGTGAACTTCGACCTGAGGGATCCACGGGCACTCTCCACGGTGCGACGCGGCGATCGACGATCGACTGGTGGCCGTGGGAGCGGTTTTGCCCTTGTTACGTTCGTAGCTTCCTTGTTCCTAGTAGTAAGGCCCTTGTTACTAGTGCCAGGAGCCCCTAGTAGCGTCCTTGCTCCTAGTAGTAATGCCAGGAGCGCCCCTAGTAGCTTCTAGCTGCTAGCAGCGATGCACTTGCTACTAGTAGCTTCTATAGCTACGAGTTTTTTTTTCAATCGTTCGTCATGTGGGCCATTGACAATTTGGACGGCATGGCGTTTGGTTGTGACGGGGTGTTTGGTTGTGAGGGGGAGGAGGAGTGTGGGCGGTGCAGCTTGGAGTTGGATGGTTTTGGATGGCTTGAAACCAATTCAATTTATCCACAGTGATGGAGACATGTGGTTCTGATTTCTGGCTTGCCGCTTGTGTGTAGTCAGAAGCGAGGCTTGCGAAGCCATGGAACATTCCTTTGGGAGCTATGTATGCAGCATGGAATGGTTTTGCATTTGCTTTAACCTTTAGATGGTGCTGGAGGTGATGTGACACCTCCAAATCCAAAGTGGAAGAAGAAAAGAACACTTACTGACATACGTCAAAACATGCATTTTGCCAACCTGGTACGCAGAAACAGCGCGCTCACACTTCTCTCGAAGACCATATTGGGCTCTGCTCTCGGAAGCTGGAATGGTGAGAGTTGGTCGCTGACACCCGTTGGGCTGATACACAACTAGGACTTGGTGGCAAGACTGAGAGTCATGTAGCCTGGTAATTCACCCCCAATAAAACCCCAGGCCTGTCAGTGAGGAGAAGTGATTCATCAGTCTACATTCTGGGTCCGGTGAAGGTTCGGCCACTGACCACAAGTGCATCGCGACTAGTAACAGGTGCATCGCTATTCGTAGCTAGAAGCTACTAGTAGCTTCTGTGCATCGCTACTAGGAACAAGGACACTACTAGGGGCTCCTGGCATCGCTACGAACGGGCTTTACTTTTGAACTTCACCTCTTCGAGGCGGGCTTTGTGCAAGTGCCAGAGGCCTTTTGGATCCTCGGTGGAACCCGCCGGGAGAAGCTACAGAAGCCCATGAACCATGCAGCGAGCTACATCGATCTGGAAGAGTGATGCCCTGAAATCAACCACCACTGGGATAAAGATGCCAGTCCCATCAAGTCGCGTTGTGGCGTTTGCTTCTTTCATTCTTTTGCCTCAGTTGATTATTCCGGCGACTAGGAACAAGAAGCTACGAACGATCGGACGCTACGAACGGGGCTCTCCTGGCATCGCTACTAGTAGCATTCTTACTAATTCAAATTTAATTCTAACAGCTTCTTGTTACTACTAGTAAGGCACTTGTTACTACTAGCGATGCACCTGTTACTAGTTGCAAGGACGCTACTAGCCCGGCGACGGACCGTGCGGTTTTCGCTAACGGACCGTCGACGACCGTTGCAAAAACAGGCGTTGCTTTGGACGTCGAGGGACACGAAGACGATCTGAACCGCCTGACACAAAAGGATGTCCCCGGTGAAAAAAGAAAAAAAGCGCTGCTCTTAAATCGAGGGGAAAGAGGTGTGAAATTCTAGCGGTGGCCTCCAACCTTCCAATGAACGCCTTCTTCCGAAGAACGTCGACCGAGACCCGAAGATGTTTCGGACATCCGAGGCGAAGTCCCTACCGAGCCAATTGGAACCAATGGGCCTCTTGGACGGCCGTTTCCGCGGTGGGGTGTGGGAAACCCATGTGGACGCGACGGCAGGGCATCCTTTTTTGGAACGAGTTGAGCCCCTAGTAGCTTCCTTGCTCCTAGTAGCGAGGCCAGGAGCCCCTAGTAGCGACGGTTGAAAGGCAGTGCAAGGAAATTGCTTGGAGAACTCAGGAGCTCAAAACAATTCCCAGTGTTTGGTCATGACTCCTCATTAACGTATGTCAACGTAACTTTTTGAGCATTCGAGTCGAATGGGCGTGGTTTTTTGAACGTTTTGGGCATCGGCTTGGTTCGCTGTCCCTCGGTGCCAAGAGGTTGGTTGGCTCCAGAAGTTCCGAGTCGAAGTCTAAGAGGTTTTTGCTTTTGAAAGATAAAACAAATTGGATAGGTGTCATTTTGGGTGCTCGACCTGAGTCCATGTCGAGTGTCAAAATGTGTCCTTGAGCGGGACCAAGCGATTACAAACCTGTCGTCCAGATGTATAGAACATGAGTTGTCAGATCCAGCATCCAAAGGCTGGTTTATAAACGAAGATGTATTGCTCATCCAAAAACAATCCGGCAAATTTGGGTGGCCCTGGATTGTAACGTGTGCATTAACTGTCATGTGTTATCCTTTTGAAACATTGCATGTCCAAGAGCTTTTTCGGAGTAAACATGTCCACAACATCTGAGGAGTGGCTACATCAGCCACTGCAATTTGATGTGGTGGAGCCTCGACCGCAACAAAGCTCTTACGCCTTACGCGGATCAGCCGTTATATTCTTCAAATCAGACCAGGAGTGGTGCAGTGCCATCCACTTTGGCTGGGCATGTAAAAAGAACAAGAACAGTATCACAAAAAGGAACAGGATGATTTTGAACAGAGGGCATCGCTACTAGGAGCAAGAAGCTACTAGGGGCTCCTGGCCTTACTACTAGGAGCAAGGACGCTACTAGGGGCTCCTGGCATCGCTACGAACGGAGCATTCTTACTACTAGTAACAAGAAGCTACTAGCGGCTCCTGGTTTTCTGGTCCCTCTGATCCCCTCGTCGTCTCGTCTTGGCGAATGCAGCCCTGCAGAAGGGCACATCAATCTCCCACAACTATGATTGCAACCATATGCCAACAACCCATGTAGGTTGGTGGCCATTGCTATTAGGTTGTCTGGATGTTCTTTCGAAGCACACATTTCAGATCACTCACGAGAACTGTGCCACGAGCGCCATGGCCTCCAATCTTGCACCACCCCTGAGCAAAAAAGACAACCAATGAGAGGTGTTGTTCAATGGGTGGTTTTTCTTCCTTTCTTTTTTGGACCTTTAGACTCAATTGTTTTGATATGTTTTTTCTTTGCTATTTCTTACATGAGTTTTGGTTGTTCCTACGTAGTCCTTGCAAGAACACTAGAAGCAAGAACGCTGGTCCTTCGAAAGACATGCAGGTATCAGGGTTTCTCATCACTCTGGCTTGCGCTGAGGAAGAGCACAGCGAACGCTGGTGTATTCACGCGCGGATGTCATATCAGATGCTTGGCTGAGCAGTCTGCTGGTGGGATTTTGGCTGGACTGAATACTGCTTAGGCTCAGCACCCCCCATCACACACGCAAAACACCATGATCTACAGTGCTACAGAGAACAATACGCAAAGTCCACATGGCCACGGATGTGACAAAAGTCTTTCATGTTGCTTCCCAGATTCCCTCAACATGTTGTCATGCCCCTCAGTTTCGCAGCTGGAGGCATTACCCGCCCCAGTGGCGGCGCCGATGGATCCAGGGCATTCAGGACGACGTCGTTTGCCAACATGGAGAAGGTTGTCAAGAGTAGATCCCCGAGTCCTCGTTGTTTTCAGGTTGAAAGTTAAAAGTATGAAAACGTGCATGGCAAAAGAAGATCCAACGTGTCTTGGAAAACGTATTCGTCTATTTTGCAAATTGCACATGTTCGACATCGAAGGAAGATTGGTCTCGTTGTTCTTCGCAACGAGACGCGATGCTGTCAACACGCAAAAACAATGAAAAAGCACATAGGTGCAAGAAACATGGTAACTTTGTAAACTCAGATCAGAACACAACAAATATCCTGCCATCTTTCAGATCTTCAGCTTAAGAGCAAGAACGCTACTAGGGGCTCCTGGCATCGCTACTAGGAGCGATCGGACGCTACTAGTAGCTATTTAATTGCTCCTAGTAGTATGGCCAGGAGCCACTAGTAGCTTCTTGCTACTAGTAGCGATGCCCTTTGTTCCTAGTAGCGACGCTACTAAGAGCTCCACAGGATGCGACCTACGATGCCGTCTTTCAGCCCTGGCAGCAGGCCTACGACTGGGGTGGCTCAATCGGGTGCTGTGTTTCCAGTTGTGAACCATTCAAGTGAGCCGTAAGTCTGTGAGACAAACCCAAGAGCTTCAGTTGTAGTTGTTGTTCACACTTTGATTTGCATTCGTCAAGCCACTGAGCCTGTCACTGACCCACACTGGCAGCCTTTTTCAAGGAGTTTACTTGCACACACTCACCACATGCGTTGCCCATGTTTTTTTTCACAGCTACATCTCAACTTGCTTGATGTTGCACACTCCATTTGGTTTTGGGATTGCTCAGAAGTGACGGGACGGCTCACCTTTGGTGACGGGATGTTTGTCTCATTTCTCATCAGCTGTACCTGCTCACCATGTTGAAAGTGCCAAGAGCCCGGCAAGATGCGTCGGCAAGCCGATCTTCAGGGAATCCTCTAGAGGTTGACTCCACCTGTCAGCGAAAACGACAGCCATGGAAGGGCTAGAGATTTGCAAACGGGATCCTTTACATAAGAAGTGGTTGTTTGGGGAAACATCCATTTGTTTCTGCAAAGTTCGGAATTCCAGGCTGTTCCGGGTGCTGATGTCAAGCCTATCCGACCCTTCATGTTTTGTGCCCAGTACCACACAACCACGCATGCCGATCCGGACTGCCTCGGTTAGAGCGGATGGCTCGAACGCAGATCCTGTGAGGTCCACAAGCCCTTCGAATGACGGCCATGCGCTGCCGAAAAAGAGCGAGCGAAGCGGGGGATCATTCGCACAGAGAGATTCAGTTGTCGGTTGACTGCATCGGTCATTCTTTTTTTGGTGGTTTCTCCAGCTGGGAGGTATATGATGGGTATATCCTATTACCAGGGGCCAGTGCACACATCTTTAATAGAAATAGTGTAATTGTTTGCCCTTCCTGTTTTTGGCTCACTGTGACCTAATAGCGCTGGCCTCCAACCTACTAAGGATGCGTAATTGATGGTAATTGTTTTTGGTTTAAGAAGCTACTAGTAGCAAGGTGCCTTACTACTAGTAGCTTGTTACTACTAGTAAAGCGCCTTGCTACTAGTAGGACAGACGCCGTTTCCCTTCAATATGTCCGACTCCTCTGGAAGGGGAAACGGGACATTCAAAAAGGATCTGACACGACGGCGGGACCGTCTCGTCGACGTCTCCCGACTTGAACGTCTCCCCCACGGTTCGTTTAGTGGTCCAGCTGGGCGTTTCGTCCGCCGCAGGGAGTCCAATCTTCAACTACCTGGACCAACTCATCTTGGGGAGCTTAAGTACCACGTACCTCCCAAGTGCTTCTTGGTCCTTCCTGGAAGCAAACACGATTCATTCTTTTTCTGATCATTCAGGTTTCAAGGAAGACCTCTCCTTTGCAAGTCTCTCCGGACTTCACCTCCCCATCCCCGCCGTGCTTTCTCGACGCCTAGGCCGTTCCCTGGCACTCCTCCAAAGATGGCGGGGTTTCATTCCAAGAGGCGATGGAAACCCAAGACATGCCCTTTGGGCGAAACAGGAACAAGTGCCACGCTAGTAGTAACAAGTGCCTTACTAGTAGTAACAATTTTTCCTATTAGAAACAAGTGCCTTACTACTAGTAACAATAAGAATTTAATTAGAATTGTAATTACTAGCAACAGAAGAACAGTGCCCTATGAACATGAGAACATCGCTTTTAGGTTGGAGGCCATCGCTAGTAGATTGGAGACCATCACCGAAGTGAAAGAGGGTGCCTCATGTAGATCTGATCGAAATGCTCGGTTTGTTGGGAGTGCACGGTGGGGTACCAGCTGAGTGGGGATATGTTATTTTTTCATAATTGATGGTACACTCCCTGAAATGTAGAGGAAAATGGCAAGGGACCATTTCACAAAGTTTAGATGAAATGAGTTTGCCTTTTTGGAGGTTCTGGGTTTTGAAAACTCTGTGCAAAGAAGTAAATCATAGAATATTTATATTGAAATATATATATATATACATGTTTTTTTGCCGGTTCGTTTTGGACCACCAGTGGGAAGTCCTAGTTTGCCTTCAGGTCTTCTGGGGTCGCAGGTTGCTTTTCTGGGTCGATAGGACTGCTGAGCGAGAAGAAGTCCTTTTCACCATCACATGGCTATTTCTAAGGCTAGGAAGAGGGCAGGGAAAGAGAGGAAGAAGAACATAATTCTTATTGTTAGTAGTAAGGCACTTGTTCCTAGTAGCGAACATTGTTACTACTAGTAAGGCACCTGTCACTACTAGCGTGGCACCTGTTACTGAGACCATCGACTTCAGTGACTTCATGACTGTGGGTTTTTCGTTTCGATCAAATCTCTTCGCTTCGTTCGTTTGACACCGAGACACCAGAAATACCGTTCCTCCGAGGCTAGCTAGGTAGCTAGTAGTAACAAGAAGCTACTAGGAACAAGTGCATCGCTTCTAGTAACAGGTGCCTTACTAGTAGTAACAAGAAGCAATTTTGTTTTAATTCTAATAGCTTCTTGTTACTACTAGTAAGGCACCTGTTACTAGAAGCGATGCACTTGTTCCTAGTAGCTAGGTAGCTAGTAGCAGAGGTAGCTACCTGCTTCTGTAGCTACTTAGAACGCAGGATATTTCTGTAGCTTCTTCAAGGAAGCGCTCGCACTAATGATTTGGTTCGGAAACTGAACTAGTTTTCCATGGCCTCCTTCCACTTTGACCCGGAGGATATGGTCTTCGACCGACCTCGCAATAGCATGCAGATCAAGGCGGGATCGCCCTCAGTGTTTGGCGATTGAGACGGGGATCGGCGGTGAGGTTCGTCAAAGAGTCAACATGCGTGAAGACTTGGCACCGATGATCACATGATAAGTCCTCCAATCTACCAGCGATGGCCTCCATTCCTTTGCCGGCAAGCTCATCTACTTTGCTGGCAGTCACTGGAGCGTAGATAGTCTGCTTGTATTCAACAAGAGGTGCAATCGGGTGACATCGGTTTTTAGCAAGGAAAGTCGAAGGACACTTTTTTCTGCACGCACCCTGTCCATTCAGCTTTTACTCACTTTTTACAAGTGTCTCCTATGCCTTTGTGCAAGGATCCACGCAATCAGAGAGCATTGTTCTTTAAGAAGCCTTTTCCTGCAAACCTGAATCAGAAAGAACTATAGACTTAAACCCGACCTTGAACAAATTGCTATGGTTTTGAGTCGAGCAAACAAATCTCATCCCTTCTCTCCGCTTCTTATTGCTATGAGAAATGACGCTGGGCCGTTCTGGCTTTGCGCCCCGAGAGCGCAGATCGAGATGAAGCAGCCCCAGGAGTGGAACTACTTCGGCCCGGCCTCCCAGCAGTCAGCGCTGCGAGTTCAAACGTGATTCGTTCGACCGAAGGTTGCAACGAAGAACCCGAAGGAATGCGGTGAAATCCGCTCAAATTGAGACTCTAAGAGAAATGAAAGAACACACACCCAGTCTTGACATCTCTTGACCACGCTGAGAGACACCGTCACGAGATGCCAACCTGCAGCCTGAGCCTGTTTGACAAGCAGTTCGATAGCCCTCGTGTGACACGGTGGGAAGACTGTGGGAAGACTGTGGGATGTCCGACATGGACGGCCCCGGCGAGGCATCAATCAGGCCAGTCTGGAGCTGGCATAGACGGGGCACACGTGAGCATGCGGCAGCGGTGCAAAAGAGATGGCGCAGATGCGAGGTGTTGCTTCGCCATGGTAAGATTCAGAAAGATTGTTCAGAAAAACACATTTAGAATGGAACAATGCATGGATCCTGAAAAACTATGCATCCCTTCAACCAGTAGCATCGTGGAGGTATGATTGAGTTCAAATGAATGTACTTGCTGAGGTGAACAGCCAAATTTATCCAACTCAGGTGAGAAGAAAGAGGGGTCATTGGTCTGATTGCTCCGTCCCTTTTTCTTTTGCATTCTGACCTTTGTATTGCTGCTTGGGTTCTCATGATGCCCGGGGTGACCAAAGCAGGATGGCCACTCGTGACAACGGCAACTAGACAGAACTTCAGCGCAGAACAGCTCGTGGGTTTTTCCGTGACAAAGTTCGGAGTCTTCCTGACATGGTTTGATCATGCTCATGTTGGTGTTGGCTCAGCTTAGTTGGATTCTCTATCCGAAGGATCCGCAGGATCCGTAGGATCCGCAGGATCCGCGACCCAAATGCCGCTCAAACATGTTGTCTCTTAGACTCGATGACCCACCGAGCGGTCCTTCGGCGTCCGAGTGGCAACAGTTGCCCGAAAAACAGATGGAAGGCTGCGGAAGAGAATGAAAAAAGAAAGAACGAAAGGTAGAAAGGTCTGAAGGTCTCAAGAAAGAAGATTAGCTATTTTCCATTTGTCCATTCCCATTTCCGTGAACGCCTTGGACGAAGATGAACAAATAAAAATAGGAAATCGCCATGAACTCTTCACTAGCTTCAAGTTTTCGGCTCCACGACGTGCGTGGTAGTAGGGCAGTAGGAGAAGAAGTAGCGCTCCAATGCTTGCGGGGAGCCTTGGTGAAGTTGCGATGATTTTTGCCGCACAGCCATCAGCCGCATCTCTTTTGACTTGTAAACATATAGCCACTCAAAGGCAAAGGGGGTTCTAAAAAGAGCCTTTTTTTTCTGGAGATACTCCATCCAAATGGAGGGAAGCGGGGCCAACCGTGCATGATGGCAAGGATTTTGCTGGGAGGACAATTGGGGAGTTACACAGTTGAGGTGGAGCTTGGAACGGATGATGGAGTCCCCTGACTTAGTTGCTAAGAGCTTGCCTCGACCTGGGAAGTCAACTGAAAAACAAATAATGTCGGATGCATCATTACTATTCAATAGATAGTAGAATGGTGTGTTCAAGACCAAGAATTGAGTGCCATTTTGGGACAGATTCTTGTATCAGCCAAAGCAGAGCTGTTACAGCAAAGACCCTCATCAAGAAACAGAAAAAAGAATGAGACCTTCTGCAAACCACTGGTTTGGGCATTCCATGTCGGATTTCTCATACCCCTAAGGTTCTTGCGCTATCTGAGGTCGGGCCAGCGTTTGTGCCCGCAATCGCCCCTGGCATTGGAGAGGCGGCTTGTGGGCGGCAGTGCCCCGGTGGACCTTGTGGACAGAACAAGATTCACATAGTGTCCTAGTGGCGATGGCCTCCAACCTAATAGCCTAATAGCGATGGCCTCCTTCAACTTGGTTGAGGTGCCGTTTGCTATAGAGCGATGTGGTCCCTGGTTGTTTTGGATTGCGCTTCTACCTTCCCTTTTTCTTTAGAACTGCTTGGACTCGAACATCCAAGACTCGCAGATACGAAGAAGTTGGTGCTTTACGGAGAGTAGTAACAAGGTTCGCTACTAGGAACAAGTGCATCGCTACTAGTAACAAGTGCCTTACTAGTAGTAACAAGAAGCTTTAGTAGAAACAAGAAGCTACTAGGAGTTCTGACCGTTTCCGACCGTGTTTGTTTCACGAGGCGGATGCCGGTGGATGTTCGGGATTTCCTCGTGTGACGGCACACCTGTCCTATGCAGAAGTCCAGTAGCGTCCTTGCTCCTAGTAGTAAGGCCAGGAGCCCCTAGTAGCTTCTTGCCCACCAAGAAGAAAGATGTTCATCGTCATGAATGATTCGATTCAGCTCGTAGCTGGGCTTCCGATTGAAAAGTTTGTCAAATCCCAAACCATCCATGGGACTACGGGACTGGAATAGTTCCCTGCATTAGGGTCAGAAGTGGTGTAAATAGTATC